ATAGCTTGCAAGGTACACAAATAACTCTTCCATTTTATTCAGTACTGATACGCATTCCAACAGATTACTTGATCTTAGCCTGGTGTGACACAAGACTGACAAAAGCAATCCATGAAAAGCCCAAAGTGAGCAAGACTAATCAGAGGGCTCGAATATCAAAAGAACAGGCACCATTTAGGTTAAAGGAGAGCTTAAAGGACAGCTGCTAAGAAGAAGGAGAAAGACATCAATCTTCAAATTTATCCTGAGACTTCCAATAGAAAGAAGAAAAGGTTAAAAATTGAGTATTAATGGCCAACTGACATATTAAATGGTAATATGCCAACCTCAAATTCTAAGTTACATGTTCAGAAGATTAAGTCGGACAGTATTTTCCAGAGAAAAGTCTGTGTATAAAAAACAACTTCAAAAAAACGCTGCTTTCCTGAGGTCAAGAATAATGTTGCACAGTAGTTGGATTGAAGCAAATCCTCAATCACATTCAAATCAAAACAGGAGGAAGCTACTATTTTACATGGCTTCCTGCAGGACATATGAAATGCTATCCCAAAGGAGAAGGTAGGTTATGCAATGAAGGAGCAGCTCTGCAAAACTGTTTTATTTGGGTACTGTTTCCAGTAATTATTTGGACAGGACTGAGAAAATAAACTCATAGGACATCCTCATGATGTAGTATTTTCGTCACTAAAGTAATAATTAGATTTTAAATTAATCAGATTTTGGTTATTTCACTCTCTTTGTGTAACTCAAACGATGGAAAGGAAATGGAAACATGCTTTATTACCATTAGGTTTCTTCCACTGTGTGCATGTTTGCATGTGTGTACAAAATCGCTTGCTAGTAAAGAACCAGAATAGTTTCCTCTTCCTTATCATATTCTAGTCTCGCTGGCAACATAGTGTGGCCCAAGACTTGTTTTAGGGGCCAAAATGGACCGACTGTTTTCCAGATTTAAGGGATGGTAGAAAGACAGCCAATTCCCACTCCTTAGTAGTGCTAAATGCTGCTCCAATTCATCTAATGAGTAAATCAGACAAAAAGTCAGGCATGGTCACACCTGAAATCTTATTTTCTTCTCCTTTAAAGGGAAACCATATAGAAATGAATAAATATTTCAAATAAATCTATTTTAAGTAAGCATAGTTACAGGCTGTCTTTGAGCATAAAATAAATACTTTTTCTTTGACAATGTATTTCCATATTTGTTCTTCTTAATGATCATGAGTTATCAGCATCTCTGCTTTATGTGTCTTGGACATTCAAAAAGCTCACGTTCTTTTCTCTGGACATTAAAATGTTTGTAAAACACACAAATACAAAAGACATCAACTAAAAAGCTTTAGTATCAAACAGTCCTAGTATAGACTGGCCTTCTGAAAAAGCATTCTGCCTTCTATACTGGGCTCTAGAGCCCTGTGCTAGGCCACAAATAGATCTTAAATTTGAACTGGACTTACTTATTTGTATGTCATGGCCACAAATCCTTTTCAAGTTCACAGCTACTGCACATCAATTCTGTCATCTGAGCTCCAGATTCAAACTAGAAACCTAGGCGTGAGCTTTTTCAGTGTGTTTTGCAAGCCAAAATTATGGAAGGCTTTTTCCACTTTTAGCATTCATTTCTTTGTTATGTTTGGCCTTCACTCACTACTGTCACCTTAAAAATCAAAACAGTATGTTCATTATTATTCATGGAAATTCATAGGACACACAGAAAGTATCGTTTTTTTCCCCCCAACTGTGCCATTCATGT